GGTTGTTCTTTTCATTTTTGTACTTGACTGTTTGCAATTTTTAATTTGGCGGTTACCTTACAGTGCCCCACGAAATATGTAACCAGCTTGAGTAATTGTACCATGCACGGAGCTTAATTTCCCTAAGGGGAACTGCACTCGGTGCAAGCCGATCCTTAGCGCAACTGCTCCTCGCTTTTGCACACTCAAATGAATTGGACGATTGAGGACCGTGGTTTTCACAGCCTGTCGACATCGATAAACTGAAATCGCATACTGACAGTGACCAGCGCAATCGTAAAAGATTCATCCGTTGACAAAGTGGTAAGTTGAAACAAGAAAACGTATACAGGGTGTTTCAGAACTATGGGATCAAACTTGTAGAAGTTATTCAGTGTAACAGTAGAAAACATTTGAGTATAGGGACCCATATCCGGCGCTTGTGTGTTGTTATCTTTAAATAGCAGAGATTGTTTTTTGTAGCTGCATTCCATATCGTCTTAGTCGTGCTATCGTATTTGTGAAGTTTGCAAGAATTTAAAAAAAATAATTTTTGCTAATGGAAAACTTTACCAATCAGGAATTGGCGGATATGCATTTGGCATACGGAGCAACAAGCTGCAATGCACGAGCAGCAGCGCGGTTGTATCAAGAACATTATTCCGAACGACAGCATCCGGGATACAAAAAGTTGATTGCTATTCATAGGCGGCTCTCCGAGACAGGCATGATTAAAACCAACATGCATGATACTGCTGTTGCTCGAACCGTAAGAACGGTCGAATTTGAAGAAGAGGTCTTTCAGCGAGTTGCCGACGAACCATCAAGTAGCACACGTCACATTGCTGTGGATATAATACGAGTAACGCTTCCGTCTGGCGGGTGCTACACGAGCAACAACCTTATCCTTGCCACTTCCAGAAAGTTCAAGGATTGACTGCAGCCGATTACCATTCTATAGTTTAATTTTGTCAATGGCTTCTTTATCAAATCGCTGCACAACCAAATTTTTTACGCTGTGTTTTATGGACCGATGAAGCCTCTTTCACAAGAGACCGTATTTTTAATAGTAGTTATAGTCACGTTTGGGACAAAGAAAATCCCCATGCAATTTTTCCTAGAAAACATCAGCAACGTTGGTCTGCAAAGTATGTGCAGGCATTGTTGATGATTATTTGATTGGGCCATATCTTCTACCGGAACGGTTAACAGGACCTATTTACCGGCGATTTTTGGAGGAAGTTCTTCCAGATTCTTCTTGAAAATGTTCCATTGAACGTTTGACAGCAAATGTGGTTTCAGCTTGATGGAGCGCCGGCTCACTTTGCTGTACAAGTACGTGAGTATTTGACTCAGCGGTTTGGGCACCGTTGGATTGCCAGAGGTGGAGCAGTTTCTTGGCCTCCTAGGTCACCCGATTTAACGCCGCTAGATTTTTTCCTGTGGTGACATGTAAAGTCTTTGTTTTTCGAAACTCCAGTAGAAACAGAGCAAGACTTAATTGGACGAATTACTGCAGCATTTGAAATCATTCAAAACAAGTATCAAATGTTTAGTCAAGTCCGCCGAAATCATGTGCGACGTTTAAATCATCGGTGTATTCAGGTTGGAGGAAGACATTTGAACAATTGTTGTGATGATATCATGTACAAAAGGCAAAAATTAAATGCATTAAATCCTATTTAGGCGATTCATCGTCTTCCTAAATTTTAACGCGTCTCAGGGTCGTATTGCCGTAGTGACTTTTCCGGATATGGGTCCCTATACTCAAATGTTTTCTACTGTTCCACTGAATAACCCCTAGAAGTTTGATCCCTTAGTTCTGAAACACCTTGTATATATGAACTTCCACAGACAAACTTCCATGCATAGACATATGTATGTGAGAGGAACATGGATATATGAAAGTAATTGCTGTTGTTTTAGAGGCACATGCTTTCGCTCACAATTTGTAGCAATTGTAACAATTGACAGCCTTGATTGAGAGTCCATTCCGTTCTTTGTTAAACAGATGTCTGATAGAAAAGTATTGGTGGTGGTGAGGAGGACAAACTAGGCAAGTAGGCCACCTTTGGCCCTTTTAGCTGACCTAGAGTGTACTATCACTCTACTGCTCATGTTAATCCACTAATTCTTCCTGATCTCCTAATCGAGGTCACAAGTTCCCGATCATCAAATTCTTGTGCTACGATTGGCCAATAGGCTGGGCACGCAACAATCAGTCAATACGAGCGTGAGGGTGCGCAGTCGTTTATATTTTGATGCTACATCAATGCCATATAGCGCTTCAAATTCGACTCTCGTCATTGGGATCTCGGAAACGGTTACTGTTAAGATTCGGTTGAATGAAGGCAAAGTTGCCATTTAGGTAACTAAGAAAATGGAATGTTTCGCAATTCCGAATACTTCCGGAGATAGAGGAAAACATTTTCTCAAAAACGTGGGCTTTCAAAATAAAAAGTCCATTATTATTGCTGCTTTTTTTCCTCTAAATATGGCGTAACTAGTTTTTCAATATGACGTCTCGTCTCTTACCCTCAATCATCAACTTAATTTTGTTTTATAGACGCCATATCGGGCATTTGTGCAAATGAATAGAGTTTTTAATTCTAATTCTTAAAATGTATAATATGTATACTTTGACAATGCCAAATCTTAGTTGGACCCAACCTTATGCTGAATTTGGACGTTCACAGACAATTTCCGTTGTTACAGTCATGTTGCCAGAGAGTATCACAATATTTCCTTAGTAATGACAACAGACATTTTGCTTTCAAAGAAATATGTTTGTTCTTAAATATTACATCAACCTTCCAAGAAAAGATCATCCTTAAACCTCCCTTGTAATTATTCCTAAAGGCTTCTTATTTTCAGTATTTTTTATCGAAAAGGAAATCCTATAACCCATGAGAACAGTCCGACAGGAGGCAACACCTAAAGCATTAACGTTTTGGACGCGCTTAAGGGTATAGTTACTATGGATGCCGACGAAATGTTGACCTAATGAGATCTGATTAATGCGTCCACATTAACAAACACCTATTTTCCAATGAGGGTGCTTACACTGGCAATAATCAGCACACTTCAGAGTTTATACAACGTCGTCAGCACCATTTGAGCATTCAAACAGATTCATTTTTTCGTACAACGTGCGTCTTTTTGCGTACTTACTTGGTTATTTTACCATGGACAACGATACATTGATGACTATCGTGTACTGTGAGATATTAGATATGAGAAACAAAAATTATGAATAATAACCTTTCAATCTCTCCTTTGTCATCTCCACTAGAAAATAAAGACTTGAAGTGCTGTTTTTCCGCCATTTAACAAGTTTAAGTTCAGTACAGGTCTTTAAAAAAAAATCAACTTCTTCCATATTTGCTGGCCAACAAAAACATGCTAACCATCAAAATGTCAGAAAACGCCTGGTTCTGACGAGGATCTCGGAAGTACTCGTCAGAACTAAATTTCGACAGAATTCGCTTTCATCGTAACCGTAGCCTTAGTATACCGCATATTTCGAAGACAATCACGTTTTGATAGGACATTAATGTTATTTTAATACACAGGTTAAGTGCTCGGCGAATCAAAAGTCGGGTTTTCCAATAGAGACTTGACAACTTTGAACTTTCACTGTGAACGCACCTTTAAATCAATGTCAAACATTCTGTAAAGAAAACATTTTCATCACGGGTGAAGTACACGAACGAACAACGCCTACAAATAATTAATATTTACTACCGAGTCGGTGACCGCAGCTTTAAGAGCGTTAACGTCAATCTTTTGTCGTAATTCTCGTCCCAGTAGACAAGCAATTCAAAGTGTAGTAAAAAAAAGTGAGTCCACATATTTGCTGAATGTTTCTGTATCAGTGTGACAACGAGTTGGTCGAAGTGACGAGAATATTGCTGCCGTTCAAGCTTCCGTCGCAAACGAACAGAACACATCGATTCCACGGCGCTCTTAAGAATTGAGCATCGCTCAGACCACACTATGGCAAATTTTGCGAATACATTTTGGCCTGCACCCTTATAAGGTGAAGTTGACTCAAGAACTAAAGCCGTTCGATCATATAAGCCGACATACATTCTCGAATTGGGCTCTAGAAATGTTGCAAGAAAATGACCAATTTCATCGCAAAATCATCTTCAGTGATGAGGCGCATTTTTGGCTAAAGGCTTTGTCAACAAACAGAATATGGGTTATTGGTCAGGTGTTTCAAAAAACACCACTTGATCCATATGGTGTGGTTTTCAGGCCGGTGGTGTCATTGGGCTGTTTTTTTTTATGAAAATGAGCGTCAGGTTACAGTCAACGGAGATCGCTACAGAGACATGTTGCAACGTTTTTTTTGTGAATTGGGTGGGCTAGACATTACTGGTATGTAGTTTCAACAAAACGGTGCCACACAGCGGGTGAAACAATCGACATATTGAAATCAAAATTCGGTGAAGGTTATATCGAGAAATGGTCCTGACGAATGGCCGCCTAGATCGTGTGATTTAACACCTCTTGACTTTTTTTTGTGGGACTACATTAGATCATTGGTCTCTGCCAACAAGCCGGCGTCGCTAGAGGAGCTCAGAGTCAATATTGAACGAGACATAGAGGCCGTTTCTGTCGAAATGTGAGGCCGTCATTGAAAATTGGGTTCAAGGAATCGATCGCTGCGAACGTGCCCGTGGTGGACATATGAACGAGGTCGAATTCCATACATAAATGTTTTGAGTATACTTCCATCCAGTAATACAATTTTCAAGATATCTCAAATGGTTTGCGTTTTATTTTAAAAGAAAGTTGTCAAGTCCTTAATGAAAAACCGTTTACATAGGACCGTCTATATGTTGAAGCGCAAAAAAACGCTTTACAATGCATGCACATTGTTTGAGTTAGTACCGCTTTCAATTATGAGACCTTTTTTTCAAAATCCCGGCCTTGCTTACGAGTGCGTGCCCGGAGAATTATTTTTGGGTTACTAATAACTCGCTGAAGTCACGCGCTTTCATTTTCATACTTACGTAACGCAATGTGAGCTCCCTCCTCAGGAGGATAATTTCTTTTCACAGAATTTATAACGCATATCGCTATAGTGTGCAATCCAAGTTCTTTCGCCTTTTGTAGTACGTTCCTGAAAGAAAAGAATTTTGTTAAATGTGTTATCCCGTATTTTAAATTCAAATAAGTTGAAAAATTAACAATACTGAATATACAAGCTGTTTTCAAAGTTGAGTCCTTTATTGTAACTGCTTGTAGGACTCGTCAAAAGGAGTCACCTATATACAAGTTGCATAATAAAAGAAATAGTAAATATTAAACAATTTAAAACATAAGAATATTACACAGATTTTTTGATATTCTCGGCCACAGCCATGTAAAATCTTAGTGTTTTTTGTTTACTACTCTTATCGTTTATCTAAATTTGGCAAACTTTTTGTGTAGTTTTCAGTACGAATTTGGTTCGATCAGTGGTACCAGTCTTTTAATAGTGCGTATACTTTTAATTGACTAAAACAATGAACTAGCGGACATAAATGCAGTCGCAGCATGCAGGTTGTATGCGGAAAGGTTTCCTTTGAGAAATCATCCGGCCCCACGGATGTTTTTAAATTTATTTATTACACTTCGTGACACAGGATATTTAAAAAGAAGGAGGTCACGCTGGAATAACTGCTCTACCTGAAATGTTACAAACTGACGAAAACATTTTAGAAATGGTCGAAGACGACTCAACAATGAGTACTAGAGCCATAGCACCTCAAGTTGAAGTTTCTCATAGTAAGTGTAGAAGACAATACGACAAGAAGAGTATTATCTTATCATTATCAGCGGGCGCAAGCGTCACAAACTGAAGATCATTCTAGAAGCGTTGCATTTTGCCAGTGGCTTTTAGAACATTTCGGCAGAAATGACGATTTTACGAAATTAATTTTGTGTATAGACGAGACCACATTTACACGAAATGGAGTGCACAATTTCCACAATAATCATGTTTGTGCAGTTGAAAATGGGCATGCTGTAAAAAAACTCATTTTCAACATATATTTTCATTAAATGTTTGGTAAATGTCATGCTCATTGAACCCTACTGACTGGTGAAATTTATCTACACAATCTGCCACAATCATTGGAAGATGTTCCTCTATATGTGAGACAGAATATGTGGTTCCTACATGATGGGGCTTCACCAGATTTTAGATGAGAAGTTCATGAACATCTAAATAATGAGTTTCCGAATAGATGGATAGGGCACAATGGACCCATTTCTTGGCCTGCGCGCTCCCCTGATTTAACGTCTTACGATTTTTTCTGTGGAGCTATTTGAAAGAGTTGGTGTATGATGATGGAGCAGTAAATACTGTGGAAGAACTTCAACACCACACTTGAACTGATTGCGATTTACTTCGTACACACCAGGATTTTATTTTCGAAGCTTGTAGAGAGTCGTGGATTCGCCGAGCAAGAGTTTGCGTTAATCGAACAAATGGGTATAATTTTGAACAGTTTTTGTACAAACGGTATCCATTTAACTTGATAATGTTTTTTTTTAAATAATTTTTAGTAATGTAAGCTAACTCCGTAATTATGCAACTTTTATATAAGTCATTTTTTGTAAATCAACTTCTTTTGACGAGTTATACAAGCTGTTAGAATAAATTACTCAACTTTGAAAACCCTGTATATTACAAAAAAGGACTTGCTGACATTGCTAATCATGAATTTCATTACGACAGATATGAATCCTTTAATCTGATACTTTATGTACAGTTTTGTTGCCCAGGTCCTTTCCACCCTGCTTGGGGATCTATCTACAGTTTGTTTTCGTTCACATTCGGATCCTATTAATAGAGTGCTGGAAAACGTTTCCCTCAATTGTCAATGCTACCTACAACCTGTATAACGGACATGTGTCGAATCTGCACAAAACAATCAATCTAATCACAGGCAATCACATGTGCTTTAAATTACATATTAATCTGTATAACAGTACTGGGTATTAAATGCAATCCAATTTTTGAGGTACCGACTGTTTCGCTATAAATTGACCGCCTCTTACTTTTTTATATGACAGTTTCTAGTTCCATGCAAAAGCTATAAGATCTGATATAAAGTTTTTAACGCACTATCTTTGTTATATACGTTTGAAAACTTCCCACCACGGATTTAACGAAAACCTCTGATTAAATGAAAAAACGCCGAGACACGTCAGAGTATTTTTCAAGGGGGACAACTTTTTAACAAAAAACTATTCACCCCTTTCACCCTCGACCCCCAGGGTCATTCCCTTGAAAATTCTAAATAACAAGGGGTATCGAGTAATAGTTTGTTTTAAACATCTTTCGAAGTCCCTTATTTTGACATTTGATCTTTAAAATCAGTCGATTTTTCGAGAAAATTTGAAATTTGTTTATATTAATTTGTTCAAAAACACACGAAAATATCACTTTTTATTTCAATAAGTGTTCAAAATGTTGCCCGTTAGGGTTTGCCAAATCTACAATTCGTTTATAATTTAAAACGGAAACTACCAACATAAACAGCAATTCGGAAGATTAGACGTGGCGACAACCAAATAACAACCTGAATTTTTTTCCGCATTCTTTTCCTGGGCGAACTGCATTTATTATTATATCTGCTCAGTTATTTGTTGCTCAGGGAAAGATAGAATTCAATTTACTGTCAGTTACTTTTGCGCCAATCTTAGGATAGTGAAAATTAATTTATTGATTCAGATTTCACTTGCAAAATGGTTTACACACTATCCGAAAGAGTGGAAATGATTCAAATTTATGGTGCCCAAAATTAATGTGCTCTGAAAACTGCCGTCACTTTTAGCGCCAGACATCCGGAGAAGATAACTTCGCATAGGTATGTTTTCGACCTTGCTACTAAATTTTCTTAAACTAGCAAATAAACAACGTGATCATCGGAGAGTTTTGGATGAAGCCGTTCAAGTTGAAGTTTTGGATCATTTTGGAATACATCCTAATGCTTCATTACGCAAAATTGTGGCTGCGACTGGTATTTCATTAAGCTCTGTATACATAGTTACTAAACTCCATAGATTTCATCCATTCAAAATGAAATATTGCAAGAAGTACTGGAGCTTTTGTTGAAAGGCATACCCAGTACCCCCAAAAAAATAATTATGGACAGGCATTTGAGGAAACAAAGTGGTAGAGCCTTGTTTATTAAAGGGAATTTGAATGGAGACATTAATTTGCATATTTGGATATATTATGTTGGAAAATACCATCAAACCGCTTATCACTGAAAACCATTGAAAACCAAATCGAAGAGGATGGAAACCCTATACTTGATGAGGCTGAAATATATTTCCAGCAAGACGGCGCTCCTACTCTCTATGTTCTTGCGGTTCGGCAATGGCTAGACGACGAGTTTCCTGATAAATGGATATGGCGAAGAGGGCCTATAGAATGGCCTGCTGGATCTCCTGATTTGACGCCATTAGACTTTTTTCTATGGGGCCATTTGAAATATATTGCGTTTACTCCGCAACCTGAAAGTTTGGATGAACTTCGTCAACGCAACATCGAAAGCTGCCGTGATATCTCACATGTTTTTGAAAATGTCCGACAGGAATTTGTACATCGCCTATATCATTGTTTGGCCAATAACGGGCAATATTTTGAACACTTATTTAAATCAAAAGTAATATTTTTGTGTGTTTCTGTTTTCTATCTAAAACGCATTAAGATAAATAAAGATTTTTCTAATTTTCTTGAAAACGAATCGACCGATTAAAAAAAAAAGTCAAAATAAAGGACTTCGAAACACGCTATTTGACGATACCCCTTGTCAATCAAAATGTTTAAGGAATGAGCCTGGGGCCAGAGGCTGAAAGGGGGTGAAGTAGTTTTTGGTTAAAAAGTTGTCCCCCTTGACAAATCTTTTGACGTGTCTTGGTGATCAGTGGTTTTCGATAAATCCGTGGTGGAAAGTTTTCAAATGAACACCCTGTATAGATACGAGTAACGCGCACTGTATAATTTTAACGAAAATGATATTCACTTTTAACAAGCTTTTATTTAACTTGACCTGTTTGTACGTTAGTATGTATGTATGCATGTATGTATGTGTAGAATAAATCTTGGAACTGAATTTTGAACCAATTAACCTTCACAGCAATTGAGCTGAAATTTTGTACACATTTTTAGGTTTCGGTGACAATTCAAAATAAATTAACTGCCGCCATTTTGAATCTAATATGGTGGATGCTACAATCCTTTCCTTCCTAATTTCAATAGTATCCCCTATAATATGGGTATCAAATTAATGGGCTCGATAAACGGAAAACGATAAGTAAATAACGTCTCATTATAAATTCGATGATCACCCCAAAATATCGATTTATCATTATAAGATTTATATCGTATATCGAAATTTTATAATAGTAATTTGAAATCAGAAATACTAAAAAGTAAAATATAAATATAGTAAAGAAAACATTTTTAAGAAGAAGTTTTTACTTGACTGTTCAAAAAATTAACTAATACTGAAAACTATTTTCTCCAATCAAATGTTTAAACCATAAGGCAGCTCGTTCATCTCAAGTTTCCAAATATGTGTTACGTTTTAGCACCTGGATGGAAACACGATTTTATTTAAAAACTTGAGATGAAGCAGCTTTGTTATCGTTTAAAAATGTCCAATCAAATAGGTATTCTTAAATTTTTTGAACAGCTAAATAAAACCTTGTTTTTAAAAATGTATTTTTTATTTTATCTATTCTGAATCCAAATACATAGTTTAACTCTATTTTGTAAGAAACTTATATACTATTTGTAATTTAATCATATACATCTGGTCTTACATCAGTTTGCTTAGGCGGCTAGATGAAAACTGGTACAACCTCAGATACACCTAATAAATGACACACAAAATTTAAGATTTTGACGAAAGTGATGAAAAAAAGTATGATACACCATATAGATTTGGAATATAAAATATCGATCAACATCTTGACTATACTCGAATATTCAGGATGTTACCTTTAGAAAAATACAATTTCTATTCGGCAGTATTTTGCTGAGATACTGAATACAAAAGACATGGCATGAGAAATGGTATACTAATACACTGAGTGAGATTTTAATAATTTTTGGCACATACATATGTTCAGTGCCCTTTACTAGTAAAATGATTTTTTCAGCTTGATTCGTCAACTGACTGCAGAAGCTGGTTCAATAATGCGTTGAGGATCCACGATTTCTTATACACTCATTGGCACGCCTGGGCATCGTGCTGATAGGATGTCGATATCCGGTTAGGGTATCTCATTCCAGTCTACTGCAACTTGGTGAGTAAGAGCTGCTAAAGTCTGTGAAAGGTGGTGCAAATTCAAGAGCCTGCGAACTGTCATGTCCCAGACGTGTTCAGTTGGAGATAGGTCAGGCGATCGTGTTGGCCAAGGTAAACGGTTGATGCGATGATGATCCATGAAGGCTAACGATGCTCTTGCAACATGCGGTCTGGCATTGTCTTGGGTTGTCGGGTTTTGGATGGTGTCATCACAAAAAGGCTTCTCAATAAGCTACCCAAAGGTTAACATTTAACTGACACCGTAATGAAAACTGAAAGCTTCTTTATCACCAAACAATATAGGCAGCCACCACAAAAACTTAACAGAAAAATTTGACCATTTTATCACTTGTTCATGGCAAGATAAATCAAATTCTTTAATTCTAATAAACATACGTAGGTGTTTACCTTTTTTTTGTCACTCAGTATATAATTTTTGTATGGAAACTTTTTCCCGAAGGTAGTACGCAAAAAAGTTAGAGGGGGTCAATTCATAACGACACCTCTACAAGTAAATTTTTCAGAGCCTGTTTACACGAGCATACCCCACAATTTAGGAGAGCAATAAAATATGTAAAGCAATGATTTGTGAATGATTTTGCTTCTTTAATATGCTTATAATAATACAAACCTGTAACACATGTGTAAAGCATTTTCAGATGCGGATTGATACTTAATATTGTACTTGGGACCTGCTGTGTGGATAATATACCTAGCCGGCAGTGCGTGGCCTTGTGTCACCCTTACTTCACCAGTTTTACATTCTGTAAAGAAATATTATGTTACTACATGATATATAGGGTGTTTCGTTGTGAGGGGGAGATATTTTAACCGTGTATAGAGGCCACATTATGTTGTAGGATTGATGGAAATACAAGACATGGCAGGCAGGTGTTTTTATTTTGTAGTGACAGCACCAAAACCCTATAAATTTGCAGTTACATAATCTTGGTGCTGTCAGGTTAAACCAACCAGTGAAAGTTGGCCAAAACCGGTTGCTGCTCAAAAAAATATCTATGTAAATACAAGTTCCTCGTAAGATAAGAAAGTACCAACTGGTAGTATATTACAAGGTACGTTTCCAGAAGCTTTATCGATAAATACTTATCGGGGTACGCACGAAAACCACTAGCAACAAACCAGTCCCAGACATGTACCCTTCCTGGAATATCTGGCACTATGAGCACTTTTACAAATCTCAATCACGGAGTCCCAAGACTCTAAAGAAACTCTAAATACCTGTGGGTTCTGTCTTTGACCAGAATAAGCTCACAGCGGATGTAATTTAGTCATAAGAAACAGAATGACAAGATACACTTTTTGAAATTATTTAATTAAAAGTTATTAATTTGTGGAACACCATAATACTTACCTTTCACGTCAAATGCAATTTCTTCTTTGAGTCCGGGACCTGCCCTTTGAAATATTCTATCACTAACCGGATTGCTGTCGCTCATCGATTCATTCGTCGCATTCACAATGGCGTCTACTTGCAAAGATGCTATATCACCAGCCCTGCAAGATAGAATTTATATATAATAATATCTTGTGGGGTATGAATGTTGTTACATGTACTGGGTATTCTAAATGAGGGTTTTACAATTATTGTGATCACGGAAACATTGCGAGCTGGCATTCAGCACAAACTAGACCCCTCTGAGAAAAAAGTTAGACAAACAGGTCCAAACGATTAGTCCATAGCCATTATTTTTCTTTCCCTACCGGTACTGCATCTGGAAACTAACTCGAGCAGACGTGGATCTCCGCGCAAGAAGCCAGCAGCAGCCGGGTTCATAGGTTCGCGATCCGTCGCCCAAGAATATTTTTCCAAGTTTTCAGGGCTAATGAGAAATCTATGATGTGTAAAATATGGCTAATAGGAGCATATAATTGTCATTTCACGAGCATCAAAGTTTGAGATAAGCCCTTCCCACTCCCATACAACCCCCACCCTCAAATTTCTTTACTTCAAAAAAGTTTGAACGATTTTTATTTTATTTTTTGTTTCAGCTCTTTTTCTCTGCCACTCTGCACCGATTTTCTAAAGCTTTGTAGCTTTTGCGTCCTTGACATAGTAGTAAAAATTTAATCGAAATCCGAGCGGTACTTCTCAAGTGATAGGCGGTTATGAGATTAGCAAACAGACAGACGGAAATGAGTGATATGGTTTTTCTTGATTTACGTATAAATATAACAAACATCACATTTTTGAAAATTTCCGACACACAGACGGAAATGAGTGATATGTTTTTTCATAATGGGTCAAAATCATGGAGGTGAGCATTTGGGTTTTCAAATCTCCGAGAAATTAAGTTTCCTTTTAAAGAAAACTAACAAGAGAAGTCTGTTGTGTCATTCATCAGGAATCTTTTCCGTGAAGAGGCACGGACAAAAATATATATTTTTGAAATTCAACCCGTTAATAAGAATTATGCCTGAGTCGTGAGTCATTTCGGGAACACTTTTAAACGAAGTCTAAATTAACAATAATGTAACTAACGTATTTAAGAGCCACCTTCAATAAATTTTAACAAACCTGTCCCTAAATCGGAAAATGTTGTTATTTTGTATTTTTTCATAATCAAACCACTTATTTTTCAAATTACTGTCCATAAATCTTCAATTGGTGTAAATTCTGCTCCAAAACTTCAGTTTATTTTTTACATTTTTGCACTACGTTGTATAGTAATAATATAAATGCAAATGCCCAAAGGTCATTTCATCTGGTATATGTAAAATTTAACTATTATATTACGTATTAGTGATTTATTTGCCGTTTTTGTGACGTTCCCGAAAATGATGGGGGTGTACCCGAAATGATAATGAAGTTCTCTAAATGACGTTGTCATTCTCTGAATGAACACAACACCTGGTTTTTGGCCATATTTTATGCATGAAAATAATATAAACGTTTTAGTATTATACCTGAGCAACATGAGTATCAAAATTCAAACTTAAAATATAATAATAATAAACTTTGTACTTTTAAATAAATAGACATTAGGCATTAGAAACATTATTATTAAATGCATAATTGCATAATGTCACAAAGTAACTTGAGTATCAAAGTTTCAACTGTCACAGCTGTACCTACGCTTTTATCGATTGAGATGTAGAATTGTGCTGCAGCTGTGTCCTAGTCGGTTCGTTTTGTTTAATTTGTATAAAAGTGTCGTATAAGATACTTTCCAGTCTCAGCACAAAATTGAGGATGCAAATTTTTAACAGTTTCTATAAGCAACCGCTTTTGTTTGTTTCCCTTGAGGCAATCTTTCTTACCAGGACACATTCTGCTGACATCGTCACGTTAAAAAACTTATGGATTTCATCACGAGTCTGGTTAGTAATTAAATGCATTGGACGCCTCCGAATAGATATTAAAATGTCACTATTTTTATTTTTGCGGAGAAATGGCTTGGCCATATTATTTAAACATTTTTAAATTTTTTGATAATTTGTCAGCATTGTCGCTAAATAATAGATATTCATGAACTTCCGGGGTAATAGAACATCCTCTTGTCCATTCATTAACTTTGCAAGTAGGTGTATCTGTACCCTTTTCAGATGCTCTTTCTTCACGCCTTCTACTTCTCTCTACTTTTTTTATCTATAGTTCTTTGCATGTTTTGTATTCTTTGTTTCTGTTTTTTAACGGTTCTATAAACCTCTGCTTTATCTTTTTTAACTTATTTTTTTCCCGATTTCTTCCTTAACATGCGAATATCGTTTTCCATCTCATTTTCAGAAACTGGGGGGCTGTTAGCTAAAATATTTAACATCATCTTTTTTTCAGTCTATATTTGTGAGAATTTTTTCTCCATGAGTTTCTCTATCTTCTCTTCTCTCTTTCCGCGATATCACTAACAGTCTCAGCTTTCTATTCAGCTTTCTTTCTTTGATAATATTCCCGATCTTTCAGTCTCTTCATCTCTTGTTGTTCAGGTGTCACATGTTATCTTCAATCTTGCGTTTTCTTGCATTATCATTTTCACGAATTTCGAATGCTTATTATATTAATTTTTAGATATTGTTTTCAATGTTACATGTACTAAATAGATGCCTAAAACCAAAATTTAGAATAGGAATGCTTTTTAAACAAATTAGAGTATCATTTTGTTAACATCCTGTCATTTAGGGAACGGCCGTCATAGACGAGAAAGTTCCCGAAATGACCGTTCCCAAAATGACTATTCTATAAATAATTACATGTCACGCTTGACGCCGAGATTTTAGATATTGGTTTTGGAAGTTAAGAACAAGTGAGCTGTAATATTTATCATTATTATGAAAGAAGTATGCAAATTGAAAACTAATCATCAAACAGCGTTCCCGTAATGACAAGGAATTAAAGTACGTTACGTACATAGCAAATTAGACAGTGCTTAGCAACAAAATGAATTATTTTTTTCCGTAAACACGACACTCTCCGTTTTCTTCGTATAGTGAACTTCACGTTGCTGCTCCCTAATGCCACCTATTGTTTGTTGTTTTAATTACATCGACCCAGCGCAAGTGCGTTCACGGAATGATTTGATAAATGTCGGACAGCATTTGAATAGTCAAAATATGACAAATTAAAATAATATGAATTCAATTTACAGATATATTCTTAACATAATGATTTTCAAAGCTAATATAAAAATATGACATTTTTAGTTCGTAGTTGTAAACATTTTTAACTTGTCTGAACTATGAAACATGGAAAAGGACGCGTTCCCGAAATGACTACTCAGGCCTGTTTTTGTTTAAATCAAGTAAAACATTATAATAAAAAATAAACATGCTAAGTGCCTGGTAATTATGCACAGTACCTACATTTTGAAATAAATATTGTAGTAATGTTATTTTATTAGGAAACACTTTATCAGAAGCATAATGTTCACCTCTCTGATTTTGACCTATATCATATAACAAACATATTTCATTTTCGAAAATTTCTGCGATTAAAATATCACCAATTGCAGAAAAATTCATCTGGATGTGGATTCGACTACAAAACCTTCCTCGCTCAAATAGAGTGTAAATGTTGAAAGAAACGAAATGAAAAGGACAAAACTGCATTACCTACGAAATCAAGAAACGTCACTCAAACCTTTAAAAATCACACTATTTCTGGAAGACGGATTTTTTCAGAAAATCTTGTTATTCGATTTCTTCAGCTGAATGGATTATTTGAAAAATAGTATCGCCTTGGCTAACATTGATAATATCTAGCTATCGAATGACACTTGTTCGTGAAATCACCAATTTGGCAACATAGTTTTCTTGTTGCTGCACTGTACATATTTGTTGAAGGTACATAAACATTAAACTTATGTATTTTAAAAAACATTCGTGAAAATTATTCTGACGAACATCTTATGAGACAGCTAAATAGCAATAATGAAATAAAATAGATGCCATTCGATTAGATGAAATGCATATGTTTTGCTTTCCGTCTCGGTAACTATGCCCTACCGCAGACAAGGCCGTTTCGTGCTCATTAGCAAATCATCGGTTCGGTAGAGGTCTAGTCTTGGAGATAGGCAAACAGGAAGCATACAAGTATGTATGGTCTTTCAAGAACTCAAAATATTACGTGCAAGTATGTGACGAATAGCTTCCCAAGTCGACATCCTCATCCCATGTGATGACGATGTCAGAGGACCCTTACGTCCTGTGGCTAATAAATGGCGGCTTTCGATCTCTAGAAGTCGAAAAAGAGTATCCACAAAGCAAACCAGCACTGGTCGACCGTGCTGGTTTTTCAAAAGACCCAGATGTCTGTTTCCAGTTCGTCTGCCTACAAGACTATACATATATCGCACTGACGAGTTGCTGATGAGCACGAAACTGCGCTGTCTTCGGTGGGTCACGGTTAGAGAGACGAAAATCAAACATGTCCATTTCAGCCCGCCCATTTTAGTCCGGGCAATATCCCTGCATCTGATGGGAAACATGTTCTGATTCGGATTTTTTACATAGTCTCATTCAAAAAGGCCCCTTATAACGAATCTGCATGTTGTCAGGCCCACATTTGCGAAACACCTTTTTGACCCACTTTTTTAAGCAAATTCCGGCCCGATAAAATTGTTTTTATGTTTTTTAGGACATTATGAACAAAAACGGTCCTTTAGAAGTTTATAGTGTTCGAGATATAACCAATTTGATATGCGCAACAGTGCACAATATGCCATTTTCGAAGCCAAAAAACAATATGAGAAACGAAAGTTTTAACGTCGTCAAAGTACACTAACAAAATGCCGAAGCATGTTATTGTCAGCCTTTGTTGTTTAATTATTTATCAAGCGCGAATGTTATAATGGCATGATTTAACGTCACTTCACAGCTTAAAATTTAGGAACTTGTCCTCTGAAATAGTTCATGATAATGCTCTGTGTTATCGCAAACTCGTCATTTGAAAACGAGCGCAGATTTCTAATGGCAATAAACAATTTTCTGAATACGTATCTGTGTAATTATTCGACAAAAAAGAAAGTGTACTTATTTCGAAAATGCCGGTTTCCCATATCAAC